TTATAATACCTGAGAGGTAAATAATGATACACAAAGGTCTAACATTTTAATTTAATGTAATAATATAAACTTGACTACTGCTAATGTTTGTTACATGACTAAACTACGAGATACCATGTATTGCATTTTAAAAAGTAAAAAATAAACTTTATCCATGCCCCATTGGAAGAAATTACGATTTGAACATTAGTTTGAAGTAAAATTTCTCAAAATGAAGATTTCCAATTACATTTGTGTACACAGTAACATATTTTGTAACAGTTATTCATTTCTGACAGAAAATTCAAGTGCGATTTTGTCTAGGCTAAGATCTTTAATTTACTGACTTATATAGTAAAAAGAAAGCATCATCAATAATTATTTCACCTTTCTTTGTCCTACCAAAGAAATGTTGCCAGTGACCATCATAAAATTATCCATTTTCTAATTGGGCTGCATGGTGGCCTCAAAACAAGAGTTTTCTGGCTCTCATTCATCTCTAGTGGTCTTGAGGTGGACTTGTGCCTGTCCAGGTGTACCCTGCCTCTCACCCTGTGACCGCTGGGATAAACTCCAGTGCTCCCATGACCCCATTAGGGAATAAACGGTTCCCAAAATGGATGGATGGATGGATGTCGATTCAAGCAAGTGCTTGCTATTTAGCTTTAAAGCAGAAATACATCTAAGAAGTACACAAAATAACAAGAAAGATTACCAAATCGTCATCTGCTTGATCATTTTCTCTTACGCAATTCATTTCAGGAGTTCTGCAAAGTTCTTCATGTCAAGTTTCATAAAGTTAAACTGACACTCTCCTATATGAATATCAGTGAAGAGTCATTCATATTATTTTGGTCCAATTGGCTTATTTTGCTCTGGTGTTTTGCTATCAAACCTTTCAATAAGCAGATAAAAAAAAAAAAAAGGAAAACATTTGAGGTATCTAAACCGTGACACTTAAGAAAAGAAAAATTATTTGCTGATACAATGTCATGGGCTATCATCTTTAACATTCATCCTTTTAGGGGTGGTGGTGTGGTGGTTAGCACAGTAAAAAGGTTCTGGGTTGGAGTCCCCGGGGGAACCAGGACCTTTCTGTGTGGAGTTTGCATGTTCTCCCTGTGTCTGCATGGGTTCTCTCCAGGTTCTCCGGCTTTGTCCCACTGTCCAAAAACCTGCATGTTTGGTTGTTTGGACATTCCAAACTGCCCTTAGGAGGTAGTGTGTGTGGTTGTTGGTCCTTGTGTGTCTCTGTGTGGATTGATTTTCAACCAGCCAGGCAGGTTGTCTCACTTTTAGAAAACAATGTCTTTTTTTCACTTGTTTTAAGAAACTAATTCACCTCAAAATTTCACAATCATCTTGCTAAAAAAAAGTGTTTTGCAAACTTAAATGTAATTTTTCTCTTACCCCAAGCAAATAATTGTTTCAATCCAACCAGAAAATTAGAAGTGTCTAAGCAAAGTTTTTTTCATTTTATTGAATCTCCAGTTCCAACCACTCTAAGATGCTTCCTCCAGTCAGAATAAGCGCCATGGTTCATTCTGTATAGTTTGTTTAGGTGAGCCTTTACTTTGTGGCCTTGC